ATGTGAATTATTTTAAGCGTTTGTGTTTTTTAATAAAGTGGGGATATTATTGCCATCTTATTCCATCCCTGTGAGTTTGTGTTTATTTGCATGTTTCCCCGATTAGAGTAAGCGCATGTCACCTTCGTCATTTAAAATCTATTCATAACATTGTAAAGAAAAGAAAATAAATCTGATCATATTTACCTGCTTCTGGAAACATCTACTCCATATGGAAATGAAGATGAGAGATTGCTGGCTTCGCTAATCCACATTAGAGGTGGGCTTTCTCATTTACGGAACCAATGATTTACTGCTTCGTATTTCCACAAATAGAAATGGAAGCGATGTTTGACCTTGGAAGAGCTGGTATGTTCTTTACCCCCCTACTTCTGCCTGGAGGTGTTTTTGATATTATCGGTCACTGTGTGTGAGCAGTGCCAAGGCCACTGGTGCCTTTCGCCCCGGACAGGAGGGGCCTGCAGGCCACTGGCCCTAAGGGTTGTGCTGTTTGCTATTCAAAGCAAACACAGGGTTAATTAATTAAAATTATTTTAAAATTGCTGGGTGGCTCAGTTAGTTGGAGCATCATCCTGTGTACCAAGAGGTTGCAAGTTTGATTCCTGGTCAGGGCATATACCAAGGTTTGGGGTTCAATTCCTGGTGGGCATGGGTATGGGAGACAGCCAATCGATGTTTCTCTCTCTCTCCCTTTCTTTCTTTCTAAAATTAGTTTTTAAAAAGTTATTTGAAGGTGAAGAAAAGTATTTTATTAATTTAATTTAGTTGATTCAATTTAATACCGTAAGGCACAATATTAATATTACGTGTTTTGCATTTGGGGCAAAGTGATCCTGCCTAATTCTCTGGAGTTTTGCTCTGACTGTATTTAAGTCTGGTAGAAAGCAGGCCCATTGTACGCTCTGGGTGAGTGGTTTATTAGGACACATAAGAGGACGCGTGATGTCCTGAGACGCACCTTGGACTCGGGTTTCACACGAGGCTACAGGAGATGAGCAGAAACCGGAGTCGGTGGGTGAGATGGGAGACTCTGGGGGTTGGCGGTATCCACAGAGCCCGAGTGAAAGCCTTCCCTGAATGCGTTCATGGCCCGGGTCATGCTATTAGGATGGTTCACTTAAGGGGGGAAACTCATTATGCAAAAATGCATCTTAAAAAACAGATAACTTCAGTAGGAGTTATTTTCATTACGGACTCATTCAGCGGGGTTCCTTTAAAAACCATCTCCCTGACTGCATTTAAGGGTGTTATTTACAGATGACGGGCTACTTGGCTACAAAGAAGGGCAATTCAAGTCTAAAACATCCAAAGCCAGTTAAAGACGCGGGAAACAAATACAGACTCAAAAGTATTCCTGGAAGTGGGCAAGCCCACAGGGTGCGATTTATAGAGGTACAACTTGCACACCCCTTTCTCCAGGAGCACAAATGTTACCCCAAATGAGGAATGTGCGCTTTCGAGCTAAAAGCAGGTGAATCCTAAATGATTGCTGAGAACTGAGGGGTGAGGGAGCCTCAACTTTTGGGGAGAAGGCCGGATCCTGAGAGAAAAAGAGGCCACACTGTTCAGACCTCAAGGGCAAGACCTGTGGCTCTTACCCAGGTGTATGTGAGACCTGGAGAGAGGAGAAGTATCTCAGGTGACTGTGTGTGCATCCCGTGTGTGTATGTGTGTGTTTATGTGCAAAACTGACCCTTTACATGCTGGCTGAATAGTTTATAGAAAATGGGGTGTGACCAGAATATACACCTTAATCTGGAAGAAGAAACCCACATAAACGTTGCAAAGAAGCCAGCTAAGTGCAAACAGCCTGGCCTGAAAAGGCATTGCTGACCTCCAGGAGGGGAAAGAAAGCCTTAGGCATGATCCTTAGGAGGGAAGCCTCAGTCATGATCTAATGCGTGGCCTCAGGATGAAAATACGCTAAGGCCCCTCCAGCCACCCATGTGGGGAAGGGGAGGTCTCAGGTTGGTGGTCCTTACAAAATACTAGCTGAGCTTGTCAGGGGTAAGAAGCTAGTTTTTGTTTTGTTTTGTTATGGGATAGGAGGGTTAGCTATTAATTGCTGTTTTCTTAGATACTACTCTATACAGGGACATTTGTTTTCTTTATTATTTCTGAAAAATTGCTATCAACCTAAGTACTCAAAATGAAGGAGAGATAGATTAAAATGTAATATGATTAAACAATAGATTATTATGAGGTCATTAACATATTTCACAAAATGCACATGACATGATAATAAGTGAAAATAATAGGAGGAAAAATGTGCGGATAATTGACTGATTATGCAATTTTAAAATGAAGGGTGTTGGACACACATCATACAGTTTGTATAATCATTATAAATTTTCACTCTTAAACTCCAAAAAAAAGTACCACTATAAACAGTGAAGCGACATCCCATTTTCTATTTTTCAATAATGAAGTGGACTCTTTAAATCAGAGATCAGCCTACTTATTTTGTGAAGAGCCAGGTTATCAATATTTTAGGCTCTGTGGGCCCCGTATGCCTCCTTCACATTATTTTTTGTTTCTGTTTTATTTTTATAATGCTTTGAAAAATCTAAACCCATTCTTTGCTCACAAGCCTTACTAAAACAGGCTACGGGCTGGATTTGGCCCTTGGGCTGGAGTTATACTGACCACTGCTTCACATGATTTCATTTCCTGTGTGTTTTGCCTGTTTTAATATGGAGAACTGAGACAAGTGTCACATGATCTCACTCATATGTGGAATCTAATGAACAAAATAAATGACAAACAAAATAGGCCCTGGGGCATGGATGCTGGGAACGGACTGACAGATCACAGAGGGGAGAGGGTGGGCGGACAGGAAGAGATTAACCAAGGGACTTCTATGCATATATGCATTGCCCGTGGACACAGACAATAGTGTGGTGAAGGCCTGGGTTGGCGCAGGGGCTGGGTGGAGGGGGTCAAAGTGGGGAAGATGGGGGACATCTGTAATACTGTCAACAATAAAAGAATTTAAAATTTAAAAAAGATATGGAGAACTGTGGCCTAGCTCCACGTTTGACACAATGACACACACTTTCCCAGAGTCACTCTAGAATAGCCGTACCGATGAAAACTAGCCCTTTTTTGGATTTAATTTATTTTGTGCCCTTCTGAAAAGAAAACGGAAATATAAATACAGCCTATGATTGTAGAAAGCCACACTGTCCAATATGGTGGCTATTAGCCTCATGAGACTAATTAGAGTAACACTAGTTGAAATTAAATGAAATGAAAAAGTCAGCGGCTCGGTCCCAGGAGCACACTAACTGGATGGTGCAGATACAGGGCATTTCACCCCGGATGGTTCCGTAGGACAACCATACTAAAGGAAAAGCTAAACAATACTCTGAAACTCAACCCAAATCTCCTCCAGAAATAGTATTTATAGAGAAGAGGGAGAGACCGGTCTTACGGAATGACGATGAAATTGAGAGTCAGATGGGGCCAGAAAAGTAGTCGAAGGTTAAATAATTTCCCCAGGTTTGCAAAACAAATCTACCATGTCCCAGCCCTGTGATCCTGGTGAGTTACCCCACCTCTCAGTGCGCTCCATTTCCTAGGCTGTAAAGCAAACGTTACAAAACCTACCTGGTGCAGAGTTTGCGTGGATCAAACAAGGTTGAGCATGTGAAAGTGTGTAGCAGCATTCTAACCTACGAGATCCATGCATGCGCACTGGCCCAAATGGGACAATTTTCATAAATTCAGAAAGACCCACTTCTGGCCAGGATGGCTAGCTTTTGGCTTCTCGGGGACCTTGCATTTCACGAATATCAAAACTGCTATTGAAGATTTTATTCTGGTTGGGAGAAGCACTTGGCTGCCCACATGACCTGAAACTTTCAGGGACCCTCATGTTTCTCATGGGGTCCCTGTCACTACTTCTAATGGCTGCCCCATGGCTAAGAGTTGGGTTTGTCTCAGCCTTTGGGAATTGAGATGCTCGGTCTTGGCAGGTGGTGAGGGTTCCCCTGTCTCATCCTCTCCATCACCATGAACCTGTGGCCTCTGCTCTCCCCAGGCCCCTCTCCATCCAGTCTCAGAAGCATCCCACCTTCCCCCTGGTCCCCAGACTCACTTTTGAGCAGTCGTTGGAATTTCATAGGGTGTACACACACACACACACACACACACACACACTGTATGAAACAGATGACAAGGTCTGGACTGTGGCTGGGGGACTGTGAGGAGGGGCAAGCCAGCTGGGGGACCACGGTGGGAGCAGCGAGCACGGGAGGTCCTGCTCTGGGAAGTGGGGTGGGAGTGGGCATTCTTTGGAGGACCCATCCCAGGCAGAGAAACCCTTGTTTTCCCACCTCAGCATTGTGATTTAGCTTCCATAGTCATTTTGGTTTCCTCCCCCTAGCACTTGATGGGTTATCTCTCTTAAAGAGCCTTTAAATTGCTGCTTCCCCCAGGGAAATGGGGGGCCAACGGCATCCTTTACTGTCTTCCTTCTCATCTGCCCCCTCAATGGACTCACACAGGCAAGAACAGAGCAGCCTTGCAGACAGGTCGCCAGCCCAGGCTAGTAATATCCCCACAGTGAGAAAACTGTGCTCAGGAGCACTGCTCAGAGCCTTTGCTAGGCCAGGGTGCCAGCTGAAGGGCCCGGGCCTGTGACTTCAGTTATTCTCATACGAATTTACAAAGCTGGGATCTGAGGCAGGCCGTGAGGTGCAGCTCCCCCTCCCCCACCCCAATATCCCGCGTCCCATCCACGGGACCCCACCCTGACAGGTGTGCACAAGGAAGGGCTGGGACCCCCGGGGGGTGAGGGTTCAGACGTCAGGAGCAGAGGGATTAGGTGCTAATGCAGCAGGGGAAACAGAGGCATGCTTATGAAAGTCAGGTTCACCTGGGCGGAGCCACACAGGAGGGTGGTGCGGAGGGAGGGGACAAGAACTTACATGGCAGGGAAGGTGACTGGACTCAGGGTTATGTCACAAAACAAGAAAAGAGCCACAACACGGGCTTACTTGCGGAAGTATATACAAGTGAACTGGGGGCACTGTACATGGAAGATCCCTCCTGGTTTGCCTGGCACAGCAGCACCGTGCCTACGAAAGAGAGAGAGATAGATGGCATCGGCTCTGGGAACAGGCACGCTGCACCTGAGAGCGCAGCAATGCAAACGAGAAGGCAGAGAAACGAAAACACAGCCCCCCCAGTGCGAGACAGGACCCCCGCAGCAGGCCCGGCCTTAGCCAGAGGGAGTCGGTGGGGTCCGCCCCCCAGCCCACCAAGCCTGCGCCTCTCCTTTCCACATGGGGTGGGACAGTGGGGTCCGGCTGCTCCAGGACCCCAGTCTCAGGTCAGTAACGAGAGCAACATGCCACGCTCAACAGGGAGCTTAGAAATGTCAGCGATAACGAGGTGACAGGCCTGACTCAGACACTGCTTAGCTGTGTGATCATGGCAAGTGACTGTACCTCTCTGTGCCTTGGGGTTCCCATCTGGAAATCGGGGTGGATATACCTACCTCCAGGAGGGGTGGTGGATCATATGACTGGAGACGCACCCAACACAGGGGCTGGCATGTAATCGTGACTCAATACATGGTAAGCACGTGTGTGTATGTTTACAGAAAATCTTTCCTCCTCCCAACTTAGGTCTTTCCCAATCAGTTCTTCAGAGAAAGAACAGAAGGCAGGGAAGAAACAGATGCCACTTTCGCCGTTCCTGTGACCCCCCGGGCCCCCTGGACTCAGGGCGAGGTGATCTTTGGCGTCTGGGTGTCCCGTGTCCTCCCTAAAGCTCCCGGCCTTCCGCTGGGAGAGGCTGAAACACCAGCCCTGCAGGCCAGCCGCAGCTGCACTGCGGGAGGGCTTTCCTCAGCCCGATTTACAGCAAAGGGCACCGGTGCATCCCTGCAAAGTGGAATTTTACAGCAGGAAGCCGGTGGACTCCTGAGAACTCTCCCCAATCTGTGCCGTGTTTTGCACAACCAGCCACTCCAAAGACGGCCAGGGTCAGGAATCTTCGGGGTATCAGTTCTGCTCTCCTGCTGCTGCAAAGCTCAAGCTCAAAGGCTTTGAAAAGCGTGAGAGACACGTTTGGGGAGTTTGCAGCCCATTGCTGACGGTGGGGATACATTCCTGGGGTTTGTGCTCACGTCCCAGTCTGGGCAAGGTCAGCGCCTCCGCTGGCTTCTGTACCCTCCCCTCATCGTCACGGCTGGCAGCAATGTCCCATGAAAGAAAGCCTGGGCCCTCAGGGAAGCGGGAACTCACCTGTGCCCTTGGAGACTTGCCCTCTCCAGGTGGCGGGGGTGTTCTATAATTTTTTTGGTATCTTGTCCAAATTCAACAAAAGTGTAGTTAAAACTTCCAAAGTGAGTGGGGGTTCACCAGATAGAGAGGGGCTGCTATGTGATGCCATTAAACGACAGTAATCTTTCCTGAATTACACTCCCAGACATAATTCCAAAGGTGGTCTCCCGGCCTCTGCTCCACCATCCTCCAGGGACCAACTCATAAAAGAGGGACTCGGGGAGGCGACTGAGAAGCCGTCCCCAAATTCCTCTTCTCCCTTCTGTTCCCTGTGTTGTTCTGCATTTTGTACATTATTTCCAAGTTACACAAAGATTCTATTAATTCCTACCTCATCTCACCCTTCCCCCATCTCACTGAGCCTCCTCAACGCCAGGCTGGCCAAGCCCATCCAACGTTTGACAAGGAGAAGTAGCCCCTGGAAGGAGGTTCTATCTGAAGGAAGGTCCCCCAGTCCCACTCCTGTTTATCCTGGTGTCCCAAGCTTATAGCTGGAGGACAGGCGTGCCCTTCCCTCCTCCCTCAAAGGCCCAGATGTAAGCGTGAAATTCACTGACCTTCCCTTGTTAGCAAATACATGGGCTTGGGTGGGCCTGAGTCATAGTCAACCTTTGCTAAATAGACAATGCTTTCTTCTTTCTATTTTAGGTGAGAATAGTTTATTGTAACGTATGAGCCTTTATACGGTCTAATTTTTCCAAAGTGGGTATTTCCAGCTCTGTCAGGAAATTGGTCTGGTATGGGGGGATTAACAGCAAACAAAGTAAACATCAGATCATGAGGTGTGGGGTCTAAAATTAACCAGCAGGAGACAAGACACCCATTAGAAAGGACAGGCCCTCACCCCACCCTGCTTTATCTGTGAGGCTCACTCGGACTTGCTGAGGTCACCTGTATGCTTTTGCTCATTGCTAGAACTCTCGGAGAGAAACTAATGTTTCCTTAGGCTAGAGAGAGAGCTACCAAACCAGAATCTGCTAGGGTGGGACTCCGGCAGGTGGAACAGGAGAAAGTTCAACGGGACTCTTACGAGCACCCCTAGTTAAGAACCACTTTTAAAAAGAGATCTGAAGTTTTGGGGGGTGCCCAGATTTTGAAACAAAAACAATGGAATTGTAGCAAAAGTATATCCAGAAGGACATTTTAGTGTCATGCAGTTAAAACCATAGGGTCAATTTTCAATAGGGACACAAGGCAGATTCCTCCAGAAAGCTGAATCCTGCCAGGGCAGAATGAAGCTTTCCTCATTTTCTTATGCAGTGGATCCTGAGAAACTGGACTGAAATAGCTTCTTTGGATGCCCTTTTAATAGTTAAAAAACTCTTTATGCGATGATTTTCACCTTTGTAAAACAAAATCTACACCATCACAGGACTTGGTTTTGATGTTACCTAAAAACATCCTACAATTTAATTTGCAAAGTATTTGTTGTGTGTTCTCTTGGTACATTGTGACCTTTTCTCAAAAGAAAACTCTGAATTTAGCAAAAGCAGCCGAGAAAAACACCGCAACCTCCGTGCATTTTTCGGGTGGGGGCGAGTCATGTGTGTTTATTTAGGAAAGTGAGCGGGATAGATAACGGGGCACAAGCAGCAATAGAAGCGGTGTTTACAAGGCTTCCAGAGCACTTTGTGACAGCTGTGCAATGCGTCCCAGAAGGGAGCCTTCCATCAGCCTCCCCCCAGCAGAAACCATCTGCCTCTGACTGCCATGCACGGCCTACAACCATGGTGACATCCTTAGACTTCTCTGCTTTTGCTTATAAAGCTCCTTAAAATTTAAGTATGGGACTATGTTCAACGTATGCTCATTCGTTAGTCAGTATGGACCATTCATCGATTCCTGAACTGCCCTTTCCTGCTGGCCTGGAATCCTCAGAATCATTCTCAACACAGCTTCTGGGCAGTTCGCCCCTTCGGTCAGAGTTGGTTAAAGGGATGAGACCCCCATGCTAGTCCTGCTCTTACTGTTAGGTTGAACCATAGGAGATTGACCATATGTTTTTATGTTAAACAGGGTTGAATGCTGGCAATTTCACGTGGTTCAAATTTTTTTTTTTTAATGTCTTCCCCTCTCCCTTCTGTGTAGTTTAAAATCACCTCCTCTCTTCTGAGTCCCCAGGAGTAATTTAATTGCTCCCCTCCTCTATGTTCTTATCACACTTAAAAAAAAAATCTCCCTAGTAGATCCTTTGTCAGCTGTCTTACAACTTTTTATTTAGGTATCGGTCTTCTTAGCTACACAGAACCCCCTGGGCCCGAAGCAAATCATGCTCATCTCTTTATCCCAAGCCCCTAGCAAAAACCCTGGCCCTCAGAGGGATCATCAGATATGACTGAACTATTGTACGTGTAAATAATATCAGCAAACAACTGTAACGTGGGCCGGAGCTGCCCTGCCACGGGAACTGCCTTGCGTGTCTTGTACCTCCAGCCTTTGAAATAGTACAATCGGGGCAGAGTAACCTTTGGACTAGACCTAAGCAACATGTCCCCAAAACCTGTTTGCAAAGATTATGAGAAAGCAATTATTGTGATGACTGGACTGATGACTCCTGGACTGAAAATTAAAACCATTGCTTACAATTAGCATCACTGTGTTATCAGCACCAGTAGAAACCCCTTCCTTCCATTGATGTAATCGTTCCCCTTCCCCTTCTCAGAAATACCCATCCCGTTTGTCTCTTAATGGGAACACTGTTTGGGATTCTGCCTGAATTAATGATTCTCGAATAGCTATTCTTACTGATCTCAAATAAAGGCTTGCTGCCTTTCATCTTGAAAAGCCTTTTTATTTTTAAGTTAACATGTGTTTTTAAAAAAACTCCCCATTTCCTTTCCTTTCCTTTCCTTTCCTTTCCTTTCCTTTCCTTTCCTTTCCTTTCCTTTCCTTTCCTTTCCTTTCTTCTTTCTTTTTAGTGTGTTTTCGTCTTTCCCTTTTTGATAGCTAGGAATTTGCACGCCTAAAGTTCGCACCTAGTTACAAGCGGTATCTATGGGATTCATTTCTTTCCTTTTTTTCTGGTTCTTTTAAGATTGAGTCATCCAGTTTCACGGGATGCCTGGGCAGACTGGTCATCCGTTCCCTGGGAAGCTGATGACTGTATCTGCAACTGGCAGGGAGGGACTCCATGCGACAGGCCACAATCTCGGAATAATCAGAGCCTTTTCCAAAGCCTGTCACGTTCGGTCACTCAGAGTGCCATGATCACCGGCATCTCAAATTCTGGCAGGATGTCCATAGGGCCACTCTCAGGAAAGACATGGGATCCTCCAGTTGGGAGAGCCAGGGCCCATGTCTCAGATGAGGCAATCCAACCCCTTCTCACTTGGGGACTCCCCTGGTGATCATTTCTGGCCTTGGAGGGGCAGGGAGAAGCCTAGAGGGGGTGATTCCTCTCACAGACAGGAAGGAGAAAGAGTCTAAACTTTTACTCCAGTGCCAGCCCTTACGCTAGGAAAATGGACTCAGACCAATCAGAGCGAAGGTGCCCTGGTAGGGCTGTTTCTCCCCAGGAAGCCCTCCCCCTCCCCCTATGTGCACAGCTGGTCAAAAAGCAATTTAAAAATGAGACCTGAGGTTTTTTTGGGTGCCCATATTTCAAAATAAAAATAATATAATTGTAGCAAAAAATATATCCAGGGGGACATTTCAGTAATATGCACTTAAAACAATAAGGTCAATTTTCAATACCCTCAGTGGAACGCAGTGAGTCTCATTACCCCAGGTAATTCCCTCTAGACCAGGCTCTGGCTTCTCCTAGAAACTGGATCTGTCTGCCTCTATCT